GAGACGGATTCTGGCAAGATTATCAAATTTTATATATTTAAGCTACGAGGAACTACCGACGCTATTTGGCTTAAAGACAGAAGTTAACAGCGCACTCCTTGATGCAGAACACAAGAACCCATGCTGCCAATGACAAGTCCCCTAACTTCGCTACTCTATTACAATCCCCAGTAAAGCGCGATCTGGATTGTGGATGGGTCTGATATGTCCGTACGAAATATATTTGTGCCTATGTGTGTATGAACATATGAGTGGAATAACGCAGGTGTTGTGCCCCTTTAGCAGTGTGCATGGCACTGCTACTAAGCAGCAGACCACTCCTGTTTGTTTACACTGAAAAGCGTTTAAGACATAGCATTTAATGACAGCAAAATAGGAAACGGCAAAGCGGAAGAGCAAGTCAAATAACGACTAGCATTCATTATTACACTGCCACCTCTTTTGTCATGGAAGTGTAAGAGGATGCACTTAGTGGATCGTTTGACGCAACACATTTGGAATATGAGGCCATGATAAATGTCTTATGGATAAAGTGTCGTGAATAAGTATAACACGTAACGTTAGCTACTCGTTTTCAATCAGTTAGCCTGTTAGCTAGCCGCAGTTTGACATTAGGCCATATTCATAGATAAGTCTTAATTTTAGATCAGCTTAAGATGGATGTTTGAGATTCGTTGTTGGACTGAAAGTGAACACAAGAGTAGCTAAAGAAAACATGCAAATGCACACAATAATACTTCCTTTGTAAAACTGCTTACCATGATTACTAAGTGTATATCAGATCAGTCGAAGGTGCTGTCTTGTCATGTGACTCGCATTAATTCTGCCTCCTCCTTCTTCTTCTTCTTCTTCTTCTTCTTCTGTTGCTTAATCGGGTTGGCAAACAACTTTAAGTGCATTATCGCCACCTTCTAGACTGGAGTATGTATCAGAACGGCCCCTACCTACTACTATAATATAATAATCTGACTTCATTTATACAATATTATTTTATTCAGTCCAGTACTCTCTAAAAACTTAAAGAGTCCCCTGTACCCTACATCCCCTGAGCTCTTTTGCAACATCTCTGTTAAACTAAAGCTCTTGTCACCACTTTGAAGTGTACTTTGAAATAACCCCCCTCTCCCGCCAGAACCTTGGACAACTCAAAAAATGAGTTGCACTTGAACGGCTTCACTAAGTCGCCGCTTGTCCACCATGTTCTCCTCATGACTGAAACGGCGGGCCAAAGCCCTCGTGTACGAAGCCAATCAGGAACTGAGAATTCAGTTGCATTTCCTTTTTAATCAAACTCTTTCACACAGACATATATTCTGCCTCACATTCATTAACATTCTGTTGCTTACACATGACTATTCTCATTCACTGGCCATTAATATCTCTTACATATGCTATTATTATGTTTCACATACACTATTAAACTCACTTACATATTCTATCATATTTATTACATATACAATTATTCCCTCTTACATAAACTATTATGCAAGAATATAATATATGTGCATGTGTGTGTGCGTGAGAATATATGGTGCTGTCTGTGAAAGGGTAGGCCTATGGTGGTGCATATAAGAGTATTGTTGTGTGTGTTAGAGAGAATAATAGTTTGTGTAGGAGAGTATGCACATAAATAAAGGAAACTATGATTGTACATGTAAGAGGGAATAGTAGTGTGTGTGGAAGAAAATACTGTAGTAGTATAGATGTTGTTTGTATGACTGAGTATGATTTGTGTGTCATGGGGCCTCTCATATATGGTAGTGTGTTTTGCACATTAACCTTAACTTCTATATGAGGCGACAGTGGTGCAGTGGGTAGAGCAGTTGTCTCCCAACCAAAAGGTTGAAGGTTTGAATCTCGGTACCTGCAGTCCACATGTCAAAGTATCTGATAGTTAGAGCCATCAGTTGAGTTGGCGCCACAGATGGCTGCCATTGGTTCTGTACTGGCTCCAGCCCCCTGCAACCCTCTCTAGGATAAGTGGTATAGATAATGGATGGAAGGCTCTGTGGAAAGCCTGCATTAGGAAGAATTTTCATCACAAACCAATGAGTTGGTTGACCCCAAATTTTCTCTTTTTGATTGGGCGGTATCTAGCCAATCAAATATTTTTTGATATACTGTATTTGTCCAAGTTTTGTATCCTCCACTTCCTCCACACTACTGTGTATTGTCATTTTGTGCATAAGTGCATCAACTGTACATACCATAAAACCTAAAGAAAGGAAACAACCCTATCACAGTCCTATATTGCTGTCTGAAAGACATTAGTTAACTGGGCAGCTCACAGCAACTTTTACTGTTAAGGGCTCATCACACAATGCGAAGTGTTTAAGATAAATGTAACCTTTGTCTGCGGAGCTGTAAAAATGGGTCCCCGGGAGAACCAGAAAAAGGCCCAGGAAATACAGGTCACTAAAGCAGTGTCAGCCTTTGATGATCCAGTATCAGAAACCTGACCTTACAGGAGGAGCTGCAAGAGGCTACTCAACAAATTGTGTATTTACAATTATATGTACTCTTAGTGATCTCAGAGGTCACTGGACGGCTACTTGGGTCAAACACAACCCATGTTTGTCAGATGATGGTGCTGCTAAATCACACAGAGCTTCCTTGAGAGAGGCTCAAGATGATACCCAGTTATGATTTAAACTTATCTGGCATTCTGAACAAGATGGAGAGATCTGGACTGCTGTCACGATCATACCATTTTTAGATATTAGTAAATCAGTCAGATAATTATTAGACATTAATGTGTTAGACTTTAATGTGTTAATAATGCAGTTTAGTAAGATTCAATGTCTGCTCTAGTCTGCTTTGTTTTAAGGTTAGAAGACAGTGTTGATTCTGAAATGTGAGCTACACTTACCTTGACACCAATTTTCTTGTATTCATCCTGTGTTAGAATTATGTCTGAATTAATGTTTTAGTTACGCACCATGTGACAACACACACACACACATTTTGTTATGGCCAGCGGCTCCATGCAGCTGGAGCTCTAGATAAGAGATGGAGGCGTCAGACTGTCTCCATGTCGTGGTTTAAATAAATCAGCACTAAAATGAAGAAAGACGGACTCCTTTCTTATTCAGATCTGTCCAATAAAAGAACTGGGGTATTACACCATCTTCTCTTAAATACATTTAGTAACATGAAATGGTATCACTTATTCACAGTTTTATTAAAAGGTACATACTAAATTCACTTGTAGGGCCCGTGTGTGTGGAGAAGTAAGTCCAGAGTCTGTGGTCAGATAAGGCCTTATAAAACAGGAGGGAGTCTTGGGGGTTAGGGTGGAGAGGAGCCTTTGCACAGAGTGGTGTTGCCTGGTCCCTGAATGAATTTATATGTGGTGTTACGCCCATCTGTCTCAGAACTGAATGAGTAATGGTTTCTTGTGAATTCCTTATCTAAAGATACATTTTTATTGATTTGTGGGATCAGAGAGTGATCAGACAGTCGTCTTGGTAACTGCAAGCAAACAGGAGCCCTGGGCCATCCTGTTGCCACTATAGTATATTTAACTGTACCAGTGGTTTCCAGTCAACAGGACGGCCTTCGCTTGGGCCCATGTAGTGGTGTCTATGAAATTATTGGTCAAGCATTCTAGGAGCTTGGTTTGGTGGACCATTCCATAGTTATAGGCTGAGGGTCATCCCATGATGCAGAGCTCCTCTCCTCTCCATTTCATTTTTATATGCCATCATTACATGTCACTAACTGTGTGTCTCCTCTCTCCCATAGTGTGTCCTCTCTCTCTCCCTGTATCTTTCTGCAGGTAGCCCTGGCTCTGGAGCTCTATGCTTCGGCCACATCAACCTGCCGAGTGCTGGATTGTTTGTTGTTGTGTTTGTTGTGTCTTGTTCCTTTTCTTTGTTTTCTCTCTCCTCTATGTACTCACCCCAACCGGTTGAGGCTGTTTTTCCTTTATAATATTAATAATAGTAAGTTCTAGACCTTATTTTGTAAACTGACAAAAATCACCCCTGGACCTCATAAACCTCATAAAACCTCATAAAATTGAATTGAACTGAATAATATAATTTCAAATCAACTGCTAATTTTATGTCAGTTGTGCTGTGGCATACTTTTGTGTATTAGCAAACATTGGATTTTTTGGCTAAGAGAATCAATATAAGATCATATTGTGATGGAACAAATCTAGCCACAGAGGTTGCAAGCCAGTGGCTTCTGTGCCGGTCCCAAGCCCAGATAAATAGAGGGGGTTGCATCAGGAAAGGCATCCGATGTAAAACCTTCCCAAATTTAAACATGCGAATCATCAGTGTGAATTCCATACCAGATCGGTCGAGGCCCGGGTTAACAACGACCGCCACCAGTGCTGTTGACCTACAGGGTGGTGGCGGAAATTGGACTACTGTTGGTCGAAGAAGGATTCATAGACAGAGAGAGAAGAGGAAAGGCAGGAGTATAGGTCTGAGAATAGAGACTCTTAATGTTGACACAATGACAGGGAAAGGTAGAGAGATGGCGGACATGATGGAGAGAAGGAAGGTAGATATACTGTGTGTGCAGGAGACCCGGTGGAAGGGAAGCAAAGCGTGTAGCATTGGAGGGAGATACAAACTGTTTTATTATGGTGTGGACAGGAAGAGAAATGGGGTAGGAGTGATCCTGAAGGAGGAGCTCATGAGGAATGTTTTAGAGGTGAAAAGAGTGTCAGACAGGGTGATCAGTTTGAAGTTGGAAATTGAAGGAGTAATGTTGAATGTAGTCAGTGGTTATGCTCCACAAGTAGGGTGTGAGTTAGAAGAGAAGGAGAGATTCTGGAGTGAGTTAGATGAGGTGATGGAGAGTATTCCCAGAGGGTAGAGAGTGGTGATTGGAGCAGACTTCAACGGGCACGTTGGTGAGGGGAACAAAGGTGACGAGGAGGTGATGTGCAGGTTTGGTGTTAAGGGAAGGAACCTAGAAGGACAGATGGTGGTGGACTTTGCTAAGAGGATGGCATGAGGTCGCATGTTACCCGGATGTCAACACTGGAAAACCAACAGTAAGAGAGAGTAATTAATCAAACACCTGTTGAAGAAACAGAACACAACAACAGACCTGCAGAAATGTGATATTGTCGTGGCTGTGTGATACCGACTAAATTAATTCAGACAAACCATCCCAATTTAAAGGATCATTTAATATTACAATTATTCTGAATAGAGTAGTATTTAAACACATAATCTTGTAGTTAGGGAACAGAGATCAGAGAACAGAGACT